TTCCCCCCTTCTTTGACGCCATATACACAGAAATAAAGGCTCTGAGCAAAACCCAAAAAAAAAAAAAAAAAAACATTGCACATCAAATCAAGTGTACACAATAGTACACTTTGATTGGGCACAAACAACCTTGTCCGCTTACATTTTACTGTTGGAAAAATGTCGTTATGTTTACCATGTACATGACTATACATTTAGAATTATTACCAGTGAAATGGACATAGATTTTTTTTTTTTTTTGATGTCATGTAAATTTACATTCTTTTATTGATGTGTATAGTGATGTATCGTCAACAGTGAATAATAATATACTCTTTAATGCACTTGGGATTCCTTTATTTTTGTGATTTTTTACTTCACATTAAAATATCTAGGATTCCAATTGCATTAGAGAACTTGATTAGTCATATAGCATGAGAGAGAGAGAGAGAGAGAGAGATGACTACTATTTGCAAATTGATTATGCAAGAAATCACATCACCAACAAATGGAAGAACTAATACCCAATTATGATTATGAAAGAAATCATATCACCAACAAATGGAAGAGCTAATACCCAATTATGGTGTGTGGAGCTTTGCTTCTTTTACAATCTTGACAAAAAAATAAAAGTGGTAATGAGATATTTGAGTGTTTGATTGCGCATGGAATTGAATTGAAAGCTTTCAAATCAGGACACCAAAATCACGGACAGGAGCCTTCTCTTTGTTAAGCCTCCAACCATAGCTTTTATTCTTTTAAGGGTTTAAATTCAGGAGCGCTTCTTCCCTCCTATATTTAACTATTTGCTCCCCTATTGTGTATGTGTATTTATATATATATATATGTATGTATGACACATGGTATTATGCAAATAAATTTGTTATACTAGTAACATATCACTATTGTTTACATTAAAAAATGTTATTTATTACATATGGCGACCGTCGATATATCAAAACTGTCATACAGTAATGTGAGACTCAATACTTTTACTTTATTGAGGATAAAATGAAGAAACTTTTATTTAAGGGTATTCGAGTGAATATATATTTATAAGAGACAATAAAGATAGGCCTCGTTTACTTCGCGGATTCGAGTTTTTAATTCGAGCTGAGATGTGATATTTTTTAAGAGCTTTTCACTGTAGTAGAAAAAGTTAGATGTGACATTTTCTGAGAGCTTTTTACTGTAAAAACTTAAAACTGAAAACCCGAATCGGTGAAATGAACGATGAATGGAGAATGAAACTACAAGAACCACCATCAACATATATTATATAATAGTAAAATGAGTGATGGTGCCTTTTAGATAAAAACGAGTGAGTTTTACTAGAGTCATACGCATATGATCTTATACTTGTATGATCCTATGAACTACATAGCAATATAGGTGTCACCTACCATATTATATAGCACGCATGTGGCTAACACTATTCCTCATTCAATGGCCTTTTGTCTCATAACAAGTTCAAAAACTGAAACAAATCTAGCGTCAACTTGACCCATATAAATGTACTTGTTTTGTATTATTATATATACACACCAAAAATAGTACTCTTACATTATAGGAATCTAATTTCCTCTTTCCTCACCCAAAAGGAAACAAAAGGACACGTCAACTTCACATTTTCCACTCGAGAACAAAACAAAGACTTGTATTGAGATTTTGCCTAGATCACCATTTAGCTCAAATCTTTCAAATCTTTTAAGGCCTCGTTCATTTCATCAATTTGAGTTTTAGTTTTAGATTTTTACAGTAAAAAACTCTCAGAAAATGTCACATTTAACTTTTTTTGTTACAGTAAAAAGCTCTAAGAAAATGTCACATCTCAGCTCGAATTGAAAACTCGAATCCGCGAAGTGAACGAGGCCTAAATCTCCGTTCATTTCACCGATTCGAGTATAGAATTCGAGTTTTACTGCAGTAAAAAGTTCTCAGAAACAGTCACATCTAACTTTTTTACTATAGTAAAAAACTCTCACATAAAATCACATTTCAACTTGAATTAATGAACTAAACGGGCCCAAGATTCCTCACTTTGTTTGGTCTGCGTCACTGTCTTATCTTAAGGGTGTAGAAAAATTTGGCCATGCATTGATCTCCACTCCAAAGGGCAATCAACTGCCAGAGTTTCAAAGTTTTCCCCATTGAAGAAAACACACACACCCGACACAATATAATATACAACAGAATTATATGGTAGGGTATGACAAAAGTTGCTATTGAAACTTTATAATTTTTTTGTCGTTAGATTACATTAAAATCACGTTAGAGAAGAAAATGTATGAAAATTTACTGAGACCTGATAATAATCTAACGGTCTAAAATTGGACAATAGTAGCAGGGTCAATTTTTGTATCCCACCATGCAAGTCCTCTTTATATATATAAATATATAATATATAAGTTGCCCACCAAATAATGCAACAAAAAACAATTTTTTAATTATAACGTACATGGAGATTGTAACAGCAGATAATTAATTAATATTAACAACCTTCACAATCAATACTTTTTGAGTGTAACCATAATAGCATTATTAATGCGATAGAAGTTTAATACTAAGTCTTAAGAGGGCCAGCACATATACAAACCATAAATCTCTTCGATAAATTAAGAGGGATATTATGGCTCCGTTCTTTTCGTTGATTCGAGTTTAAAATTCAAGTTTTACTACAGTAAAAAACAGTCACATCTAACTTTTTTATTACAGTAAAAAACTCTCACACAATATTATATCTCAACTAAAATTAAAAACTCAAATTAACGAATCGGGCCTAAAGTCACATTTTACATATATAAATCCATCCACTAAGACAGTATATGTGATTTTAATAATATAAAAAAAAGGACAAAGAAAGCATATTATATATGCATGCGACCCAGACGTGGCGATTGATGCTCAGATTATGATCTCTGTGTGTTTACTGTCCCGTTTTTTTTTTTTTTTTTTTTTTTTCTTCTTCTTCTTCTTCTTCTTCTTCTTCTAAAAAGCTCTAACAAACTGCCTCGGTGAAAAAAAACTTTTTTTTTGGAGTGATCAGTAATAGGACACAAAAGAATATCTCATTTTTAGGGTACACTTTGACTCATAAGATTATATGAAATATAATTGTACAACATCAGAACAAAAATTAACAATTATGTCACTTTAATGAAACTTGACAGAAATTTGACATTTTAAAATAATGCATTCAATATCATTATATGTTTTTCTCTTTCCTAAATTATCAAAATATATTCTTAATTTCTTTTTTCTAATTTCTTGTCAAACTTTATCTACTTCTATTGCCAGAGGAATGCTTCATTTATTTTCTTTTGGAAAAAGAAAATTAAAAGCACATTTAAAAAATGTTTGAATAATAATACATTTGAATACCACTGTGAACAGTAGAAAACATGCGCCGTCGGCCCGTCATAATAGCTGTGTTTAAAATTGATTCCGTTTTTATTTTTCACATTTTTTGAGAAAAAAATAAAAACGTTTATAAAATAACATTTGACGAAATAATGATAAAAAACAGAAATGAAAACGATTTTTTGGTTTAGTGTAAAATAAGAGAGAAATGAAAAATGACTTTTAGTCGTTTTTCATTTTCTCATCTCTCGACCAGAGAGAAAGAAAGAGAGACATTAATGAGTTTTTTTATACTGAAAATAATCTCTTGATAAAACTACCAAACGCATTCTCAAAAATAATTTTTATCTAAGATTGAAAATGTTTTCATTTTCAATTTTATACAAAAAATAAAATCATTTTAGAATGAGTACCAAACTCACTCAATATTACAATGGAGTAGGATTCCTAACCCAATGTACAGTGTTTGTCTAAAGCTATGATACCATTCACCTCTCAAAAATTAAATTAAAAGGTTTTTGTATTTTTTTCTTTAATTTTTTTCATAAATTGTACCATCAATTTAATAACATTTTTTTTTAATTTTATAAAATGTTATAAAGTGTTATTAGTCGATGACCACCGTTGAAATTTGAACGAAAACGCCGTCATGCACATTACGGATCTGTTTAGTTCGTTGATTCAAGTTTTTAATTTATTGAGATGTGATTTTATGTGAGACATTTTTACTGTAGTAAAAAAGTTAGATGTGACTGTTTCTGAAAGCTTTTTTACTGTAACTAAACTCAAATTCTAAACTCGAATCGGTAAAATAAATGAGAACAATAACTGAGCACATCACCTCACATGCATGGAGTGCTTTATTTAATTTTATCAGCTCTAGTTGGTTTTGATTACTCTATAACACTTTATTATATTTGAAGAATAATTTACTAAAAGTAAAAGTCTTTATAATCCAACACACCAGTTCATATTTACCTTTTATACTTTATGTTTTAAGTTTATTTAAAAATTATACTTTTAATTTTTGATCTCATCAAATACATATTTTTAAATTAAATTTAATGTCAAACTTTATACCTCTCCATAATTAATCCTCGATTTTAACCTTAAAAATACTTAAAATACCCTTAAATAAAGACATAAAAAAAGAAAAAAACTTAAAAAAACTTTAAATCACAATTTTGACCTCTAAATATGTAAAATACCATTCAAATGATTTTTTTTGGTGTTATGAATTTTTAATTATCATAATATTATAAAGTTTTAGTGTTTTTTTTCCCTTTTGTCTTAAAGATAATTTAGTCATTTTAAATGTTAAAATTAATTATTGACAAAGATAAAGCATATATTTATATGTTAAATTTAATTTGAAGATATGCATTTAATGAGATAAAAAATTAAAAGTATAAATTTTAAATAAACTTAAAAATATGGTATAAAAATATAAATATCTCATAAATTAAAGGACAAAAGCGCTAAAAAAACCCTCTAATTTAATGAAGAAAATGGTGGCAAAATAAAGAGGACGTAAGGGTACAAGAGTCACAAAAGTATTTAAAGGGATGAAACTACAAATATGGGCGTAATAGACAACACACTACTATTTATTAGTACAACTCCACTTGCCCGCGCAGAGAGGAGAGAGAGAGAGAGAGAGTAGAGAGAGAAAGTTTCCATTTTTGAATGTTCAAAAAAACACACAAAAAGCCTTTCTTCTTCCTTCATGTCCAGTTTAGCTCCTCTTTAATGCTTTCTCTCTCTATATATCTATCTATGTATCTATCTATGTTTCTCTCTCTATATTTCTACTACAAAGCTTGAGCTGAACTTCCAACCCCTCTAGTCCTTCCCTTCTCCCTCCTCTCTCTTTCTCTCTCTATATTTGTGAGATCCGGTTTCTCCCTTCTCCGACCTCAAAGCTTTGGCCTTTTAGGGTTTTGTTCTCTTCTCCGCTTCATGCTTTTCCGTTTTTCCGTTAATTTTTTCCTCAGAAAGAGAGAAGAAAAATAAATTGTTGGGGAGAATTTCTTTGATGAGTGGAAATGGAAAGATTTCGGCCGAACCGGTCCAAGATCGCCGGCATTGCTGATCGGAGCTCCGCCGATTTATTGCTCTTCAACGAACAAGCTTTCGCGCAAGGTTGCTCTTTTTTTCTTGTTTAATTGTAAAACTCATGCCTGTTCGGTTCTCGAGAAAACGGAAGGGGAAAAGAAAGAAACGAGGAGTAAAAACTGCATTTTTAGTTTTAATTCTATTTGGTAATTTATGGCTCGGTTTTGCTGAACAGTGGAGTTAGTAATATTTCAGCATGAAAGGAAAGTTTGGATTTTGATAATTGCATTTTGTTTTCTCGGCATTTTCCTAGCTACCAAACGGAGCCAATTACTTCCGTTTGGTTCCTCGCGAAAGCTGAGGGAAATTAGATAGGAAAAAAAAACTTTTTTTTCTTCTGTTTCTGGCTTTAAAAGAAGTAAATTTGAGGAATTCATTATTTTTTACCATTGTTTTAATACAAAGAGCATTACTTTAAACCCTAATTCACGCTTTAGTTATGAAAATTGTCTCGGTTAACTTCTGATTTTGTTGGTGCTTTTTTGCTAAAGTAGAAGGTTGGAATTGCTTTATGAACTTTTTTTCTCCAGTGGTGTTGACATAATTTGTTCTGTTTCCATGGCTATGCTTCATGATGAGACATAATAATTGCACCCTCTCTTTTAGGTTAGGTTGATCTTTTATTTTTTATTTTTTCCCCTTAAATCACAAAAGAGAAAAGTGAGGACATTACTTTTTTTTTTCTGCATTTCACATAAATAAATTGTCTTTTAAAGCATCGGACTTGACTTTATTTTTGTGTTATTGTAGAACATTGTGATTCCTCTTTTGCTTTCGAAAGTTTAGTTTAAACAACAGGGAAAAGGGTTTAACTTTTATTGTGAGCCAACAATGCCTTCAGGTTTCAAAATAAAGTCCCAATTAGATTTATTTCGTATTGGTATTTCATTGTGCTTTGATGGGATTATGCATGTTTGGCAAGAAATTCCTGGATTAATTCTAGTTTAATGTGTATCTAGATCGAATTTTCTTGTCTAGATTTATCACACTTTTGTCTACTTTTGGAATCACCCGTCCTGATGCTGTTTTAGAATTCCATTGTGCAGGAAACCGGCAAGTCCAGAACCAGCGTAATTTGCCAAAATTGGCCTCTGATTCTAGTTCTTGTAGTAGTGATACTGCAGATGATGACTCGGTGAGCTTGTAATATATTGTGTTTTTTTTTTTTTTTTTTTTTTCTACACGATTTGATTTATTTAACTAAGTTATTATACTTTATTGAGTTAATCACAAGCTATAGATATGATTTCTTAAAATCTTCTTATGCTTTACTTTTATTGTGTTTGGTCTTAATTTTTTTTTTTTTTTTTTTTTTTTTTTTTTTCTACACGATTTGATTTATTTAACTAAGTTATTATACTTTATTGAGTTAATCACAAGCTATAGATATGATTTCTTAAAATCTTCTTATGCTTTACTTTTATTGTGTTTGGTCTTTGCAGTTCACATTTGAGTTGGGATTGAGATCTTCAAAACGGGGTATTGGAACTCCAATGAAGAAGTTATTAGCTAAAGAGATGTCGAAAGAAACTGAGTCCAAAAGGAGGTCCCCTAGTGTCATTGCCAAATTGATGGGGCTTGATGGTTTGCCTACTCAGCTGCCTGCTTATAAAGAAGAAAAGGGCATGTCAGAAAACTATCTTCAGACATCAGGATCTGCAGAGAAAGGTCAAAGAAGTAGTCGTCATTATGACTATAGATCTTCTAGCAGGAAAAGCTCAAAGGACGAGCAAGAATTTAAGGATGTCTTTGAGGTTCTGGAAACGTCAAAGGTGGCGAGTTGTAGTTACCCTTCACAAGGGGTTGTCAACTCAAATCTTACTGATGCCGAGATTGCATTTATTAAGCAGAAATTCATGGATGCTAAACGTCTTTCAACCGATGAAAAGCTACAGAGTTCTAAGGAGTTCCACGACGCACTTGAGATCCTTGACTCTAACAAGGATCTTCTGCTGAAGTTTCTTCAGCAACCGGACTTGCTGTTCACAAAGCATTTGCATGATCTGCAAGGCTCTGCACCCCAACTTCTTTGTGGTCGCATTGAGGCTATGAAGGCATCAGATGCTCAGATGTACGAGAGCACTCACCTTGACATTAAATCAGCGAGACAAGTTCACAAGAATCGCAACGTGTCTTCTCAAAAGCATCATGATAGGCATTCCGGCCACTCTAACTGCTACATGGCTCCAAGTTCTCTTAAAGCACCAAATAATCAGTTAGAAGGAAAGGAGGAATCTGCAATTCTTCCTACAAGGATTGTTGTTCTCAAACCAAATCTTGGGAAGGTGCTACATGCTGCCAATGACGTCTCTTCTCCCTGTTCTTCACGGCCCTCTATATCAGATTGTAGGAAGGACATGGAAATCCCGATTCTTAAAAACAGCAATGTGGAATTATTGGGAAGGAGAAGTTTTCATGGTGATGGGGGGCTTTCCGGGCATAAGGCTAGAGAATCTAGAGAACTTGCTAAGGAAATTGCTAGGCAAATGAGAGCTAGTTTTAGCAATAGCTCCATGAGGTTCTCATCCTTTGCTTATAAGGGATATGCTGGGGATGAGAGTTCTTGTAGCATGTCTGGAAATGAATCCGCAAATGAATCAGAGGTTATGTCAATGAGTTCCAAATATTCTTTTGACTGGAACAATCAATCCAGGCCTTCGTCGTCCCGTTCCACTGAATCATCTGTAACCCGAGAGGCCAAGAAAAGACTCTCAGAGAGGTGGAGACTGAATCATAGGTCTCTGGATATGGGATCAGTTAGTAGGGGTACCACACTTGGTGAAATGCTTGCTATTCCTGATAACGAGAGGATACCAGTCCATTTCAATACCATAACTGACGAGAAAGGATTTAGGAACAAATTTGCTTCTGATAGACCTACTGGTAGGGTTGAACCTTTAGGTATCAGCAGTAGGGATGGCTGGAAAGATGGATGTGTTGGAAAGTTACCGAGATCAAGATCTCTTCCTTCTTCATCTACGGTGTTTGGCAGTGCAAAATCGATTATGTGTCGTGAACCCATACGTGATGACAGGTATGTAGTACCCAGAGAGGCCTTCATGCGAGAAAGAAACAAGTCACCAAAGAACAATTTGGATGACAGAAGTATCATAAGAAACACAAGATCTAGAAGCACACGATCATATCTTTCTCACTACATAATCAGGGAAAGTTGCGATATGTCACCCGATACTCATACAAGCCAGAATCAAGTGAAGATTAAACTTGAAGTGAATAGTCCACCTGTACAGAAACTTGAGGAGCTCGAGTCATTAGCCAGTAATGTGAAAGATACAACTCCAGTTCCCGAAACTTTGGTGGACGTGGAATGTGAGGTGGAACATGGGACAACCATGTCTTCTGAACCTCTTGATAAGTTAATTCCTGAATTATCAACCCAACCAGATGCTTGCAATACTGGCAACCAAGAGGATTTAAATCTTCAGGTTTGTCTTTCGCTTTTCTAATTGGTCTTTAAAATTAAAATGCTTGTTCAACTGTTATTCGTAGTTATAGTATAACAATCTTTGGAAACCTGTATATCCTGAACCACGCCATGAACTAATCTCAATTTAATTGAATATGATATAAAAACTTTGGGGTTGTCATGGATGCACTATCTGCTTAGTTTTAGGCCGTGCATTATGAATTACTTATCAGGAGATTCTTATTATTCTTTATCTTGAATTTGATATTTGGCATTATTATTTATTTGCTTCCTTGAATTGTTGGCATTTTTCCTTATACTTTTTGTCAAGTCTTTTATTTTGCTCGAGTCAGCGATATATTTTTCTTAAGATTTCATAATATTTTAGGAACCACCAATTGAGTCGCATGACGAAAGTTCATTACCAGCAAAACGCTCTACTCATGGATTAGAATCTCCTGCGAGTTCTAAGGAGGCCGAGCAGCCAAGTCCAGTTTCAGTTCTCGAAGTTCCTTTTACAGATGATTTGTCATCTTGTTCTGAATGCTTTGAGAGCCTTAGTGCTGATTTGCAAGGTAGCTTACATGCCCTTGATTTCTATGTTCTTGTTAGCACTTGGAACCGTGTTGGGTTGAAATTACTGGCCATCATGGTTCAGTAGTCTGACAGATGATGTTATCGTTTTTTTGTTAGGTCTTCGTATGCAACTTCAGCTACTCAAATTGGAGTCGGAATCATATGAAGAAGGACCCATGCTCATCTCAAGCGATGAAGATGTTGGAGAAGGGTCAACCCGGTTTTCCGATGCAATTGGATTGTATAGATACCAACAGAGTTGGGAGTGTGGCTATATGGTTGATGTTTTGGGCCATTCTGGTCTAAATGGTGCTGACACTGATGTGTTCTTGGCATCATGGCACGCTCCAGAGTGTCCTGTTAGTCCTTTGGTATTTGAAGAATTAGAAAAGAATTATTATGACCAAGCTTCTCCACCAAAGTCTGAGAGGAGGCTACTTTTTGACCGAATAAATTCTGGGATCTTGGAGATGTGTCAGCAATTTACTGATCCACATCCATGGGTGAGGTCCGAGGCAACAGTGATGGTTCCAAGGTGGTCGAAGAATGGGCTACAGGATGGTTTGCGTTGGTTGCTGGCAAGCCAAGAGAAGAATGCGAAGAAATGCACAACGGAGAAAGTGCTAGGAAAGGAATCCCAGTGGCTGGACTTGGCCGACGACATTGATGCATTAGGTAGGTGGATTGAGAAATTGTTGTTGAATGATCTGGTAGAAGAGTTGGCGGCAATGTAGTGAAGGAGTTTTCAACTAAATATATTTTTAGTCTTAGGAAATTTTATAGTTGATACTCTTATGTAAATGAAGAAGCCATGAAATGGTTATTTATTTCATGATAATAAAAAAAAAAAAAGATCCGAAATCTTTACACCCAAATGAAAATTAGAGCACGATTAAGTAGAAAACGGAATGAGAAAGAAGACTCGAATTTGTTGAATATTGGTTAATTGACGTATTGATGGATGAAATCAATGATGTTTTATGGTTTTTTTTTCATATTCGATGATAAATAATTTGGCAATGATCACCATAGCCAGAGAAGAGAAGTGAAGCTGACTGCAAAATGACGACGAATTGAAGTGCTCTGGATTTGAACAAAGCGTATATACCCATCTCTCTCTTTCTAAAAGTTGAATGAATTTTCATTTATGAGTCATGCACACACGTTTGAACAAGCAGAAACATTGATTTGCCAGGGCAACCTTTGGTTTGCAAGACATTTTCAAGCACGGAATAGGATTAGCAAGGGAATGCCATAAATGTTGATAATTATATATGAATAACCACGGAAAAGATGGAAGAGAAAAGCGATTTAGCGTAACTAGCAATACCATAAACTTTAATTATTATAGTCATACAAAATTATTATAACCCATGACAGATAGTCACATTACAATCACAGGCTTAGATAACTATACATAAATTTGCATGACTCGTTGGAGTGAAACCTCAGAGTGCATTGTCATCGTCACCGATGAATCTTCATCGGTCGGGCGACGGAGGAGGCTGTTTTCTACTAGGCCCGGATGGAGGGTATGGATGAGCTCGCTTTGGCAACATACCAAAGTTCAATCTCTTACTGTGTCCTGCAATCTCTCTGGCCTCTGTGAGGTGTTGAATCGCTGGATACGACGGCGATGGAGGAGTAAGTTTTCCGCTAGGCCCAGATGGAGGAGCTGGCGTTCCCTTTGGAAGCACGCCAAAGCTCAATCTCTTGCTGTGTCCTGCAATCTCTCTGGCCTCTGTGACGTTGGAGGATGAGCAAAACAATGCTATGAGCACAAAGGCAAAGCACAGCAACATCTTTTGAAAAGCCACAACCATGTTTTCTTCTAGACTTCTCAATAGGAGACAGAGACTGAAATTTTGTTCTTGGAGTGATTCATTATTCTCTATGACCCCCCCTTTAAATACAATAAGATAAGATATTCCTTCATTAGGAAATAAATTTCAGATTTCTTGGAATCATCATCGAATGTGTATAGAATTTGTTTTTTTTTCGATTTGTAACAATATACGCTGCATGGAGATTTCCATTTGGAGCCTATTCAAATAAAGAATGAATAATAAAAAAATTAATTCAGTACACTATATATACCACGTCAATATGGAGTCTAGAATTATTTCTCAAAATCAGGCTGTTTACCGTCAGCGGAGGCACGTGCGCTTATTGAGATTTTGTTTAAACAAACAAATTCGGATTGATTCTTATTTGATTTTATAAGGAAAATTTCTTGGTTGTGTGGGAAAATGTGAAGGACACGTGGAAGAACGATAATATGACACGTAGCCTTAACTACTCCCCGCAAAGCAACAACCCTCGACGTCTGGGGCTCCCTCCCATTCCGTTATAAAGAACCCAAGTGAAAAGTCCAACTTAGGGCGTCGATTCCTTCTGGCGTCGACAGATCGTACCGTCGACCTTAGGACATAGAAATCCCTCGACTGTGGAACCAACCGCCAAGAAGGACAGTTGGGTTAAGCAACACTGGCGACGAGGGGAATGCTCTTTAGGGAAAAATCTGACGTGGCAGATTGCGTACAAAAGTGGGGGATGACTGCAAGGCAGGCATTTATTGCGAACCCTTAAACCGCCCTACCGGGGACAGAAAAGGGTTACAGGAACGCACAAAGCCGTAATAGAAGACTAATTGGCTGAGTGAACAGTACTCCAAGTAATTAGTGGGCTACGTCTGGGCCTAAAAAGGGAGAGCACTTGAGTGCTTCTGCCTACCAAGGAACTCCACCCCGCGAAGGAAGGCCCCAATATAAAAAGGGCGAGACCCCATACAGGAAAGGGGTTGAGATCCGAGAGAAAAAAGAATGAGAAAGAATAATTGATGTAAATTGTAATCCCTTCAAAAGAAATATATAACCACAGTGGATGTAGCTCTGATTTTATAGAGTGAACCACTATAAAATCTCTTGTGTTCCCTATTTGTGCACATCTTTCATTAACGCACAATACACCCCTCCAACAATTTCTTACACACATTTAACACTAAGGCCGGTAATCCAACGGGAAACCCAGAGATAACCCGGCCTGTTTTTGTTGACGAGAATTCACCGTCAACAGTTGTATGCATTTAATTTTTTTTTATTTAGTTTCCTGTTTTACTTTTGTTATAGACAATACAATCTATATTGATGAATATTGAATTCCATAATTATTCCCCCTGTTGAATTTCTCTTCTCTTCCTCATCTTTCTCCTTCTCTCAATTTCTTCTAAAATTGTTATCTCATCTCTCTCTAATTCTCTTTTATCTCTCCCTCTTTTTAACTAGCTTTGTATGATTAGATTCCCCACAAACAAAAAAAAAGGAAAAAAAAAAAACTCAATGCCAATTAATTGGAAACGTTTGTGTCTCAGTTTAAAACTTGAGTCTTAGTCAGATGAAAATAACAAGATACATAACAAATTATCCCAAAAAAAAAACAAAAAAAAAGATACACAAGAAAGTGGCCAGTACTTGTGAAATTGTACCTGTAAGTTTGCTGTATGTTTTAATTGTTGGAAAATTAATGGCATCGAGTGCATAGCGAAATTTAAAAATTTTAATCAACGTCAAAGCCAAACAAGAACATGTTCATGATTTTATATAACATAAATACTAAAAATCTAAAACATACCTTTTTGAGATTTCAGGAAACTGCACGTTTGACAGATCTAAGCGTTCCAAACAGCAACCGGAAGAGCCTCAACCAACTGGTCTTCTTTGCTATTCTCGTTTCCACAATCGGTGTGCGGGTGGGCATACGTCGTTTAATCTCCTCTAGGTATTCTTGATCTCCTTCCAATCACAAGAGAGCCAAAGAAAAAATTGTTCTTGAGAATTAAACAATTTTTCCTCTCAGGAATCTTTTATCAAAAGCCTCCAAAAAGTCTCTCAAGTGATCTAATGAGTAATGTGACTTAATAGGCTATTTATAGTGTTTTGGAAGTCATACTTTCGTAACAATTAGGTTTCCCAAAGTTCTAATCGCATCCAGAGTCAATTTTGCCATGTCATCATGCATTTTACGTTACAACCGGTCGACCGGTGACAGAAACATTATAACTCACCGGTCAACCTGTCTTCACTAACCGGTCGACCGGACCGGTCGACCTGTGACCGGTCTACCCAACCGGTCAACCTGTCTGCACTGACGAAAGTTGTTTTTCCTAGTTTTTTTAATACGGGAAACTTGCATAGAGCCTCAGTTTTGATTCAAACAACCCAATAGAGAAATTACCTGATCAAAACAGTCATATAATAGTCTTCCCATATTAAACAACTCTTAAAACAATAATTCAACCAATTTATCTAGAATTAATTTATCAATTAATTCACCCATGAATTAACTTTGAACCTCTCGTTACGGAAATAACACAAGTTACCAATGTGTAGGAAATACACCGTATCGTTACAGGAAATTATGTGAGCTAGCAAAGGGACCCGATGGACATATATAAATCAAGCTCCTATAATCACAACGCTACTTGTAAACCAACAAGTCCGTCTCATGATTATAAAACTCTAGCGCTATTCCACTAAAAGCCTAGAGCTGCACTCTCGATTTATATAGTGTATTTATAAAGCTCTGATTAGCTCTAGTCTATGACTCAAAATATTATTGTATCATCCCCATAGGATATCCATAATCGACTTGAGGTCTAGTTCCGTTTTACCTTCCCGATTACATTTATCTTATGTTCCATTATCATACCATC